ATTTACCAATTAAATGCAGACCTTTGAAATACTGTATAACTTCAGTGTTATTGCTACTTTTTTGTTAAGTTGTAAATTGATAAAATTTCCTCTGTTTCTTAAGAGAAAAACCATTTTGTTGAAGTTTGAATTATATAAGGGCTTAACATTACAATAAATATACCCTCACTTATTAATTCTGGCTCAGTATTAAGATAAGTATACCCACAAACTGGCATAAATATATTCTTATAGAGCAGTGGCTCTCAACCTGTGGGCTGTGACCCTTTGGGGAGTCAAACGACCCTTTCACAGGGGTCACCTAAGACCATCAGAAAACACATATATAACATATTGTTTTTGTGATTAATCACTATGCTTTAATTATGTTCAATTTGTAACAATGAAATTGGGGGTCACCACAACATGAGGAACTGTATGAAAGGGTCGCGGCATTAGGAAGGTTGAGAACCACTGTTATAGAGGAATATAGTCAAAAGGTGAAATTACTGAACTCTAAGTATTTGAAACCCTCAATCAAAATTGGCTCTTTAGAAATCAGAAAAAACAGTATTAGGAAGTTTATCGTTTTATGATCTGCTCTGGTGGCATTTAATGACTTCTCTGGGATTGCAGTTCCTTTAAGGTGATGACTTCATTTTTTTAAATAAATTGTTGGCATGTTGTACAAAGAGCAGTGCTCCAAAATCACGTGTCTTTTTTTCCCTGTTTCACAGCCAAACGGTTGGCCAGTTTGTTCCCAGCATCTTCTTCACATTTATCCTTTATTGTCCAAGTAGCTTCCTGCTCCTTAAACTTTCTACATTTCCTCTCCCCTATTTAAAACAAGAGAGGATATTAATTATATATTCTTTTACTGGACTGATTATTCTAAGGATAAGCTCTTAATTCACTTGGAGGAAAAAGGTTTTGTGTCCTTTTATACATGTCATATATGGCCATTTTAAAAGGAATGTTGAGTGTGAGCAAACAGGTAAAACTTTTCTGGCTGCTTGGTAGTATTAAAAGAAGTCCCACAGTTTGCAGGTTGGTGCAGCTGCTATGGAAAGTGTGGAGGTTCCTCAAAACATTAAAAGTAGGACCCCTTACAACCCAGCAATTTCACTTCTGGGTATTTATCCAAAGAAACGCAAAACACTAATTTGAAAAGATATATGCACTCTTATGTTCATTGCATTTTTTACAATAGGCAAGATATCGAAGCAATGTAAGTGCCCATCAACAGAAAAGTGGATAAAAAAGTGGTGGTACGTTATGCAATGGAATATTACTCGGTTATAAAAAAAAATGAAATTTTACTGTTTGTGATAACATGGATGGAGGATATTATGCTAAGTGAAATAAGTCAGACAGAGGAAGACAAATACCATATGATTTCACTTATATGTGGAATTTAAAGAAAAAAACTAAACAAAACAGAAACAGACTGACAGTTATAGAGAACAAACTGAGGGTTGCCAGATGGGATGAGGGTTAGAGGACTGGGAGAAAAAGTAATGAGATTAACAAATACAAATTGGTAGTCATACTGTAAAGTACAGCATAGGGAATACAGTCAGTAATATTGTAAGAACTAAGTATGGTGCCAGGTGGGTAGTAGAATTATCAGGGATCACTTTGTCAATGATGTAATTGTCTTAACCATTATGTTGTACACCTGAAACTAACATAAAATAATATTGAATGTCAACTGAAATTAATAAAATGACCTTTCACTGGAAGGCTGAATTCAGTCCTTTAGGATACACTAAGAGAGAACTCATCCTCCTGCCTTTCCCAGATTCTAGAGGCTGCCTTTCCTTGGTTCATGGCCCCTTCCTTCATCTTCAAAGACAGCAGCATAGCTGCTGCTTAGCCTTTCACTATGCATTTTCAATTTTTAAAACTCTTATTACAATAAAGAGCCTGGACCTTTTTTATGTAAATACGACCAGTTTTTCTAAATCAAAGAAATTTTGAAATCTTCTAAAACTTTGTCTATAATAAGCATGTCAAACTCAAGGATGACAGGCCGCATGTGGCCCACCAGACTCGAGTTTGACATGCTTGCTCTACAAATAAGGTATGATATTTAGGACTATAGTATGGACTTTTTAGTGGTATTTTATGCATCATTCTGCCTTGTGTCTAGTCTATGCAACCCAGATCAAGGGCTAGAAATTAGAAACAAATGGCCCCACAGTTATCTCTCATCATCTTGACTCACAACTGATATTTCAAATTCTTAAACGGAAATGGACTAGCCCAATTTTTCTGTCTTGGTTATTTTTAATATATTTTTTGATTTCATAGAAGAGAGATAGAAACATCAATGATGGGCTAGAATCATTGATCAGCTGCCTCCTGCACACTCCACAGTGGGGATTGAACTTGCAACCCAGGCATGTGCCCTGGCCAGGAATTGAACTGTGACCTCCTCATTCACAGGTCGATGCTCAACCACTGAGCATGCAGTCTGGGCTGTCTTGGTTTTATTTTTTAATTTATGAAGAGTTCTGAGTATTTCCAGTGATATTAGTTTTTGCAGTTGTAAGTCTATATTGTGCAAAGAACTTTATAAAGTTTACTACAATGAATGTAAACATAATTTTATTTAAAAAAACGACAATGAATTCAATCAAAAACAGCCTCTCAGATAAACTGGGGCTGGAGTCTGTGCAAAGATTGTCCCCAGCTATGTATAGGGGAGAGATTACTTCTATCTCCTTAAAGAACTTTAGTTCAGGCCTGAGCCTTCTTCACATCAACCCCTCCCTTCTATCCTAACGCTTTTCTGTAAATATAAAAAACTAGAGGCCCGGTGCAAGGATTCGTGCACAGGTGGGGTCCCTCAACCTGGCCTGTGCCCTCTCGCAATCTGGGACCCCTCAGGGGATGTTGGACTGCTGGGGTTTTGAAACCTGGCAGTCCGACATCCCCCCGAGGGATATAGCAATGTCAAAGCAACAGGTGGCCAGGGAGGAGCCCCAGCTGGGGCAGGGCATAGCTCCATTGCCACTCATCCTGGCCCTGCTGCACCTGCCACCATGGCTTAGTAGCACTACCACGGAGGTGGGAGAGGCTCCCGCTACTGCAGCTGCGCTCGCCAGTCATGAGCATGGCTTCTGGCTGAGCGATGCTCCTGCTCTGGGAGCGCACTGACCACCAGGGGGCAGCTCCTGCATTGAGGGTCTGCCCCCTGGTGGTCAGTGCATGTCATTCGGTCATAATGGTCACTTAGGCTTTTATATATATATAGACTAGAGGCCCGGTGCACAAAAATTTGTGCACTCCAGGGGGTGGGAGGGGGGGTCTCTCAGCCTGGCCTGTGCCCTCTCGCAGTCTGGGACCCCTCAGGGGGTGACCACCTGCTGGCTTAGGCCCGCTCCCCGGGGGATTGGGCCTAAGCTGCAATCAGACATCCCTCTGGCAGCCCGGCAGCCCTTGGGGGATGTCCACTTGCCAGCGGGGAGCAGGACTAAACTGCAGTCGGACATCCTTAGCGCTGCTGAGGAGGCAAGAGAGGCTCCCACCACCACCGCTGTACTGGCAGCCATCAGCCTGGCTTGTGGCAGAGCAGAGCTCCTCCCATGGAGAGAGCCCTGACCACCAGGGGGCAGCTCCTGCATTGAGCATCTGCCCCCTGGTGGTCAGTGTGTGTCATAGTGACCAGTCATTCCCAGTCTTTCTGCTGTTAGGGTCAGTTTGCATATTACCCTTTTACTATATAGGATAGAAGCCTGGTGCACAGGTGGGGGCTGGCTGGTTTGCCCTGAAGGGTGTCCCGGATCAGGGTGGGGGTCCCGCTTGGGTGCCTGGCCAGCCTGGGTGAGGGGATGATGGCTGTTTGCAGCTGGTCACACCCCCTTCAGGGTGGGGGTCCCGCTTGGGTGCCTGGCCAGCCTGGGTGAGGGGATGATGGCTGTTTGTAGCTGGTCACACCCCCTTCAGGGTCGGGGTCCCCACTGGGGTGCCTGGCCAGTCTGGGTGAGGGGCTGAGGGCCGTTTTCAGGCTGGCGGGTGACTAAAGCTCCCAACCTCTCCTTTTTTTCTTTTTATTCTGGGATTTATTTACCTTCTATGGATGTCACTGGAGCTGAGAGCCTGCTTTAGCTCTGAGGCTCGGCTCCAGCTCTGAGACCTTGGCTGTTGAAAGCAGGGATCTGGGTTTGTTTGGGTTCTATAATTGTAACACTGTTGCGGTCCTGCTCGCTCCAGCTCTGACGTCTGAAAGCAGGTTTCTGGTGATTAACTTCTATAATTGCAACATAGTTGCTTAGAGTGCAAGCTCAGAGGCCGGCAGGCGGGGAACCTTGGCTTCCTCCATCACTGGAGCAAGGAAGCCTCCTGTTCGCTTCAGCTGCCTGGCTGCCGGCCGCCATCTTGGTTGGTAGTTAATTTGCATATCTCGCTGATTAGCCAATGGGAAGGGTAGCGAAGTTACGGTTAATTACCATGTTTCTCTATTATTACATGGGATTGTTCAAATGCCGTAAATTTATTTAATCTTCAATCACGCCTATTTTTTTTCTGATAATATTGTTAAAATAGCCCAGATTATTAAGGTAAATTGAAGTTAATGGGAGCTGTTAAGACAGGAGATGAAAATAATTTCAAGTTTAAAAACCATCCTAATTGGAATTATATAGACATTTTTCTCTAAAAAGGCTAGCTGGGTTCAAGGACCCTAAGAATTATATTTCTAAATAATCTATTTTATAAATTCTTATTCTAAATGTAGAAAAAACCCATTTTTTATTTTCAACTTAACCACTTTCTTCATAAAATTTGAAGAATAAATTTACATTTCATGGTCAAATTTTAATTTCCTATCACTTTAGGCATCAGAGCTTAAGGATTCCATTTAACTAACAAAAAAGACATTCTACTATAAAGATTATTTAATGTTTAACATTATATCCATCAACTATGAATCTGAAACTAATAAGTTTCAGTTTAACATGTTTTAAAATCAGTCAAGTATATATGTTAGGGTAGTTTTTAAAAATTGTAATACAACAGCATTAGTAACTATCTTTATTCTTAAATTGACAAAAGCATTTAACACATAGTTTACAGTATAAACAAATTAAGTGCTATACATTTTGCTTATAAAGTGACTTAAAATATTTCAAGCATTATATAATTCCATTTTTACAAAAAGTAAATTTCCAAATAAAACTTTGGTTATTTGGTAGAACTGATTATGTACTGTCAAATCCATTTTCCAAAAGTTGTGCAAGGAAAAAAGCTTCATTCACTAACACAGGTATTTCTGTACAAAGCTTTTTATTATTTAGTAAGGGGGGAAATAGTATAACAACAACTTTTAATTTCCAAGTCTATATCATTTATATGTGACCAGAATACCATCACTTTTAAAAAGCAAAAATTACGCAGAATGTCACCTTTTACTTTATTCTTAGGAAGGTATTCGATTTAAAAAATAGATTAGATCTGTAAGACTATTAACTTCCATAATTACCAAAAATGCTTTCTAGAAGCATTAATATATTCCACGGGGGGTAAATCACTTCTAATTTCCCTTAGGAAGGTAATATCTACTAGCACTAGTGCTGAGAATCAAAGTTTATATAATATCTAAAAAAAACTTAGCCCAAAACTTAGTATTTTTACAGATTCTACAATCTGTGGATTACCTTCATTCATAAGGAAAGTAATAAAAATGCTAACTTAAATAATATAAAATATCAGTTCAACCAAATTAACAATCACAAAACTATCAACATTGTCTTATTACCATTTTCCAGTCTACTGAGCAATATTTACTTAAAAATATGATTAGGAACTTAAATATATCCTTTTAAATTTACAGTTTATGCTGAACTGTACACTGATGCTTCTTTTATGATTTTTGAAAGTCCTACTTACATAACTATATAATTCCAAAATGGAAAAATGAAATTAACTGGAGACTTAAAAATATATTCCTTCATGGAAATAATTTTTAAGTATTTTAAAGTTCTACCTTTAATTATTTGAATTTAGCGTTTTAAAAATAAACTTTTCATTTCAATTATTAATACTTCAAAACTAGTTTAAACAAACAAAACCAAGGAGAATTGGTAAAACATTCCTTACTTTACATACAATGAATGCCTCAAGTGCCACATAGAGTGATGTATTGCAGAGAAGAATTAAGGTTTAGCAGGTTACAGAGCAAACCTAAAAGTTTATACTCTACTAGACAATGCCTCCCTTCTGGTGTTTATTTTCTTTTAATTTTATCTTGGCTGTTTATTATCCTTCTAATATAACTACTGCGTGACATATATCAGATGTCCAAGAGTTACAATTATATTTATACCTTATTAAATGGCTTTGTAACATTTGAGAACATCCAACCAATCTTTTTCATTAGATACAAAATAACCTACATTTTTTTCTCACAAAATGCTTACTTTCCTGAGCTATATTAAACACCTTATAACAGGTATATGTATAACTGAAGACCCTAAAATGTCAAGTTTACATTTAAAAAAAAAATGCATAGACAACACATTTTGTAAAATCTATTAGTACTCACTTATTGGATATTATAATATATTGGTTTTGTTCCTTCAAACTGTAAAATATTCAATCTTTATAACAGGTTTCAGATTTTAACCAAATTAAAAAAAAAATCTGTAATTTGACTAAAGAAACAAAGTTTTCCGACCAAAAATGATTCATGGGTCTTCCAATAAACAGTCCTTATATACTCAATACAGATATTAAATTTCTGTTCCACAAAATAGAATTATATCAGAGCTATAGGAAATAAACTTTTATTATAATACAATATGCTTAAAGTTAAGGTGCTATATTATTCATCATTCCCTACATCACTTAGTCTTTACCACGTGGGCATCATGTCTGGAAACCACACCCTACCAAGATGCTTGGACACTTCCCAATGAATCTGCTCCAAGCTATACGTTTGGTCAGGAATTAATACTTCTTCCATAATGGATAACTGAGACAGGCGGCCACCACACATCTTCACAAACTCAACAAAGGCACTACATGAGACTTCACATTCCCCTAGTCCAATAGCTGACAAATTTTTGCAACGTTCTGCAATTCGAATTAACTCTTCATCAAGAGGCCGTAATCCATTAGCACACACTACTAGTTCAACTAGTCTAGGGCACGTCATTCCCACACGGCCAAGCACATCTTTGCTTACTGATCTCCCAAAATAAAGATGGGTGGCAGGTATTTCATACCGAAAGAATGGATCAAATTCCTCTTCATATAAAAAAAAATACATCACTAAGTTCACTTTGGGTGAATGTCTGATGAAAGCATCCCAGCTGCTCTTCTGAATAGTATGGAAGTGTGTCTGTCCAGGATTCTCACTGACTACATCAATGCGCAAATGTTCTAATCGAACATGTTTTTCAGAAGATAAAGCCAGCAGCAATTCATCACTTAACAAGTGGTAATTCAGGGCCAGTTCACGTAAGCCATGGCATTGATCAGCCACACAAAGGATACCTTGGAAGAAAAAAAGACCTAATTATTTACAAATTTCTGCACAAGGTCATCTGTTCAAAAATTTAATCAAATACATGTCCCACAATAAAATCTTACCATATTTCCTTTATACAAAGCTATACAATTAAAATTTAGTTATATGATTGAACTAGCAGAAGGTAAGTTACCAGTATTTAAATATTACTAATTTTGTCCATAATAAAATGAGCCCAATTTAAATATGACACCTTAGAAAGAAATGAAGCTCACTTATCAACTCAGAAAAATTAATAAATAATTATGTCACTTAAAAATATACAATGACTAAGCAAGGTTTATCCATATTTTTTAAGGAACTGTTTACTAGCACTAAACTTACAGGTTAGGCAAGAAAAATTATATGATCATTGCAACAGAAGCCGAAGGGCATTTTTTGAAATACAAAACCTTAATAAATCTTAATTAAAATGAAAATAAGGGAGAAACCATATGAAATACGATTTATGTAAATAAACCATTTGAAATAAAATATTAAAAAGGTAAAGAGATTTTCATCAAATGAACTTAACTGCTAAATAGTATACATAATAAGTATGTCACATTTCTAAAAAAAATACCAAGATAAATAAGTCAAAAGGTAATTACCAACTCACATTAGTGGAAATATACATTATGACTTTGAAAGCTCTAACATACCCACAAAGCAGTTCCTTAAATGGTTCCAATGTGTAGGGCACTATGCTTCAAAACTGCTCCAAAACCCTAGCAGCAGATGATTACCAAGGCTAATATCCGATCTCCAAAGTGGCCTAGCAAGACACACGCTATAGACTGGTATACTACTTGATAAGTGACCCATTCAAACCATTTCCTTTGTGTGTTCAGAAACAAGAATAGGAACAACAAAACCCACATCATATTATGTACTATTTATTGTACAACAATGATATGTCAGGTACTAGATATGTTATCCTACAAATACTCAAAAAAGTCTAGCAAGGTAAGTATCCTATTTTGAAGTTGAAGCAGCTAACTTCAAAGAGCACAACTAGAATTCAAACACAGTAGTTACTACTTAAGGAGTGACAATACTAAGATCACCAATAAGCCAAAAACTTTTTTTTTTAAATGTTTTATTGATTTTTTTACAAAGAGGAAGGGAGAGGGATAGAGAGTTAGAAACATCGATGGGAGAGAAACATCTATCAGCTGCCTCCTGCACACCTCCTACTGGGGATGTGCCTGCAACCAAGGTACATGCCCTTGACCGGAATCGAACCCGGGACCCTTCAGTCCGCAGGCCGACGCTCCATCCACTGAGCCAAACTGATCAGGGCAAGCCAAAAATTTTTTAAGAGCAGGAGAATACAGGCAACAGAATTAGTGAAGAGATAAACAGAATGGCCAGTTTAAGAGAGTCACCAGAAGAGGGAGTACAAGATATCTGTGCTTTAATGTTCAGTCACTGCCAAGTTTCTGTCTCCACAAGGTGTGTATATACTATAAAATAAACTCTGACCACCCAAGGTAACCTGAACACATTTTCATTCTTTGCAATCTCATAAACCTAATATAAAAAGAAAAACACATGGGAAATGGTAACCTAAGATGCAAATACAGTGAGGCCTTGACTTACAAGTTTAATTCGTTCCAAGACCGAGCTAGTTGAGCTCGTTAACTCAAATTACCCTATCAACTCAATGCAAAAAATCGGCCGAGAGACAGCTGGTATCTCGTTAGTCGGGACACTCATAAGTCAAGCCCCACTGTAAAAGAAACCTGGAGATACCTTGTAGTAATTACTAAAACAGTATGGTAGACATTAATTCTCAAAGTAGTCCCTAAGATTCCATGTCCTAATCCCTGGAACCTGTGAATGTGATTAAGATACCACTCCCATGATTATGTTATACTAGTGGCCTGGTGCACAAAATTCATGCACATTAAAAGGGAATTAAAGAAAATACTTTAATATTGCTATTTGCCCTTTCTCTATAATGGAAGTGTTAGAGATGAAAGAAAACTAGTGAAATGTATATGAAAATCTCCCTCCTGTCAGAATCAAGTTCCTGCCTCAAAATCACATGAGACCCAGACCCGGCTGGCCCCATCCACCTCAAGCCCCACCAGGTGGGGGACAGAGCCTCAGGTCCCCACATCAAGCCCTGCAGGCTGGGGATGAAGCCTCCTGCTGATTGCACGTAACAACCATTTGCATATTAGCCCTTTACTATTAAGATATGCATTACCTAGGGACACAGACAATAGGGTGGTGAAGGCCTGGGGCAGGGCAGGAACAGGGTGGAGGGGGCAAAAAGAGACATTGTATATTCTCAACAATAAAGATTTTTTTAAAAAACCAAATGGGTGTAGCTGTGTTCCAATAAAATTTTATTTAAAAAGCAGGTTGAGCTGGATTTGGCCTGCAGGCTGTAGTTTGCTGACCCATTTTATTTTAAAGAATAGTTTGATTTTTAGAGAGAGAGAGAGAGAAAGAGAGAGAAAGACATCAATAGGCCCACAACTGGGGCATGTGCTCCGACAGGGAATCTGGCAACCTCCTGGTGCAGGGTACGATGCCTAACTAACTGAGCCACACCAGTCAGGGCTGCTGACTCCTTTTAAGTAAGTTTGCATTTCTGCTAGGATATTATCTAAGTCTAAGAATTTTTTTGTTTTGTTTTGTTCATTCTCAATGTTCTTCCCCAAAAAACAACATCTAATTTTTATTTCACATGTGCCATAGATTCTCCAAAGCCTGAATACAGTAATAACAGTTTGTTTTTAAGTTTTTCCCCCCCTGCATATTGTTTCCTCAAAATTGTTTGTTTTTGTTATATTAGAGGTTTTTCTCAAATATTGATGACCCCTGATTATCTGCTCATGTCTAAGAGATTGAATAGCATAGTGGATGCCTCTGTGGTGGGGGAGGTGTTGACTGGGGCATGACGAAACTTTCTGGGGAGATGGAAATGTGCTATATCTTGAGTGAGGTATGGATTGTGCAGGTGTCTACAAATGTCAAGAGCCATTATACTGACCACTTAAGACCTTTGCATTTTCCTATAATTGCTTAAAGAATATAAAAAACGGTTTATGAAAGCAAGTTGCTGAGTAGTCCTATGGGGGGGGGGAGGGGGTTTGAGGGCTGGTTGGCTCAGAGGCTCAATACAAAGAGTTGGGGTTGGGCTGTTTCATTGGGAAATCTTTGATGCCAACCTATTTAGGTATTCTTTTCTTGGTGAGTTGGGCTCTGAAAGAACTAATACAAACAGGAAAAAAATCAAACAATTTGGAGAAAACAGTACGCAGGGAGAAGAAAATGAAAACAAACAGGAAATGAAACAACAAAATACTTTTTGTTAATATAGTCAGAGATTGAAGGGAATAAATTCTGGAGTGTCCTGTCTGGAGAGGTTAGCCCTGACTTCACTGTCTGGGAGCCAGAGGGGAGGGGGCCACAGGTGATGGGATGGGAGGCAGGCTTCATGCATTCAAAATGGAGCAAAATGGTGGGTCACAGGGCTGCCCCTCCCAGTTGTCCTGCTGCGTCCTGGGTTCAGAGACCCTGTTTTATCCTCTCAGGACAATGAACCTTCTGTCTTTGTTGGGGCGGGGTTGGGGCAGCTGCCCAGCTGTGCTGAGTGGAGAAGGAAATCTGAGGATTAGAGCCCTTTGTAGACCAATCCTCGTTTTTGGCCCCAGCTTTGCTCCCACTTCCAGGGGTACTTAGTTCATTAACACAGGCGCCTTTGGAGGTTTTGTTGGGTAACCCCTGGTGACCCTTCGCTTTTCTCACTCCTGGCTTAGTGTTCATTTCAGGGGCAATGTTCTTGGGCTGCTAAGGCATGGACCACATTCATCCGCCTTCCAGATTTATTCTGATTCATACTGTGGTAGGCAGAATAATGGCCACCAAATGTTGCCTGTGGTTCCACCAGCCTCCTCAGGAGCCAGGTGCATTCCGAGGGCGGGATCTTCCCGGAAATAGCCAGAAACAGCTCGGGGAGGGCGCCTCAGAGCCAGTGGGACTGACGGAAGTGGGGGTGTGGCATGGAGGAGGTGCCTGCGCTTCTGTGATCTGGGCCAAGTGGAGCCTGCAGGCTGAGCTGAAGCAGCACCTGTGGGCCATCAGGAGCACTCACAGCTGCCCTGGCCACGTGGGGAGTACAGGCTGCCCTCTGCCAGGCCCTGCCTCCTCTGCCCCCATCCCCACTGCCACAAGTCCCCTCCCACCCGAGCCCGCTGCGCGTCTAATGAGGGAAAGCAGCCTCAGTGCCTGAGGTCGAGTTCTAGGAGGCCAGCAGTGCTGTCTGGATCATGCTGGCAGTGCTGGTCTGTTGGTGCCTGGCCTGTCCTCTTGAGATTGACCCTGCAGGACTACTAAGAGAGCCAGTCTCCAGTTCTGCCCAGCCTCCACCACCGATTGATTGGAGTCTGAGGGCCAGGAGGAGGGACCAAGAGGTCTGCCTTCCAGCCACTTGCCAGTCACCGCTGCCACTGACTGATCACCTCCCCCTCCCTCAGCTCCCTAGCCTGGTGTTCGGTCGAGCCTCCAGTCATTGTGGATGTGATGGACCCAGGGTTTTTATATATAGGATAGCATAGTTGGCTTTAAAACAAGATTATTCAGGTAGTCCTAATGTAATTGAATGACCCCTTTAAAACTCCAGTGAAGAAAGGAAGTGAACGGTATTTCCTGTATGAACACCCAGACATGGAAGAAAGCACAAGCATTCTAAGAACTGACAGAAGTTCAACACAGATTATCCAAGTAAGAGATTATTTTAAAGGTTGAAGCCCAACAGACAGGCAAGGACAATATCATATAGGATCTTGCCAGCCTCAGTAAGAAGTTTGGATCTTATTTAAAGAACAGTAAGAAGTTTCTAAAGAAAGTGGAGGAAAAAAACCCATCAGATTTATATTTTAGAAAGATTACTCTGGTTGTAGCATGGAAATCAGATTAGAGAAGAGCAAGGCTGCAAGTCAGGAAATCAATTAAGAGGGAATAGCCCAAA